CGATATACATTGAATCTGAAATTAGTGCAACCCTGACTGCTTCATTCTTTTCATTCATTTTCAACTGTGTCTCGTTGCTACATCACTGCAGTTTATTTATGCACCTACACACTGCAAGGCAATGGCTAAGGAGCAAGCACAAGCTGCTTTACTTGCACAAAATTAAGACAGAACCCCAACTATACAACAAGTAGTTTTCAGGTGGAAGCAGCCACTCCATCTTTAAAGAGAGCGAAGATGTTGCTGCATTAACTGCTAGAACAACAAGCGTACATGAAACAGAACCAGCTGAATCAAATGTTGACAGGACAAAATGCTGAGAGCGGCTGAGCCTGTGAAGGATCTGACTGAGTAGACCAAGTTGGTCTGTTGGTCCAGATATTGTTGCACTTAAGCTGAAGGACATACTGCATGCACTGAGGCTCTTATAGATGCTGAAGGTTATCCCAGGTTCCAGCATACAAGAATCTGTTGTGAGTAGAGGGAGACAGCTGCTAATGTAATGCAAGAAACCGAGTCCAGTGACATAGTCAGTGAGGAGGGCTTAGATGTTGTCCTCTCTAGAGATGATGTAGGGACGACACCAACATGGAGATTTTACTTGGGGTGAGTCAGTAGCTACTGCTACTCACAGAGAAGCAATTAAAGCTGGACTACAGTATATAGCAACTGGCAGTACAGCAGATTATATTATACCAATGTAGCTTGAATGAGTAGACATTGGCAAATTTAAACAAGCCTGAATGTACAGTGGGGCAAAAAAGTATTTAGTCAGCCACCGATTGTGCAAGTTCCCCCACTTAAAATGATGACAGAGGTCAGTAATTTGCACCAGAGGTACACTTCAACTGTGAGAGACAGAATGTGAAAAAAAAATCCATGAATTCACATGGTAGGATTTGTAAAGAATTTATTCGTAAATCAGGGTGGAAAATAAGTATTTGGTCAATAACAAAAATACAACTCAATACTTTGTAACATAACCTTTGTTGGCAATAACAGAGGTCAAACGTTTACTATAGGTCTTTACCAGGTTTGCACACACAGTAGCTGGTATTTTGGCCCATTCCTCCATGCAGATCTTCTCGAGAGCAGTGATGTTTTGGGGCTGTCGCCGAGCAACACGGACTTTCAACTCCCGCCACAGATTTTCTGTGGGGTTGAGGTCTGGAGACTGGCTAGGCCACTCCAGGACTTTCAAATGCTTCTTACGGAGCCACTCCTTTGTTGCCCGGGCGGTGTGTTTTGGATCATTGTCATGTTGGAAGACCCAGCCTCGTTTCATCTTCAAAGTTCTCACTGATGGAAGGAGGTTTTGGCTCAAAATCTCACGATACATGGCCCCATTCATTCTGTCCTTAACACGGATCAGTCGTCCTGTCCCCTTGGCAGAAAAACAGCCCATAGCATGATGTTTCCACCCCCATGCTTCACAGTAGGTATGGTGTTCTTGGGATGCAACTCAGTATTCTTCTTCCTCCAAACACGACGAGTTGAGTTTATACCAAAAAGTTCTACTTTGGTTTCATCTGACCACATGACATTCTCCCAATCCTCTGCTGTATCATCCATGTGCTCTCTGGCAAACTTCAGATGGGCCTGGACATGCACTGGCTTCAGCAGCGGAACACGTCTGGCACTGCGGGATTTGATTCCCTGCCGTTGTAGTGTGTTACTGATGGTGACCTTTGTTACTTTGGTCCCAGCTCTCTGCAGGTCATTCACCAGGTCCCCCCGTGTGGTTCTGGGATCTTTGCTCACCGTTCTCATGATCATTTTGACCCCACGGGATGAGATCTTGCGTGGAGCCCCAGATCGAGGGAGATTATCAGTGGTCTTGTATGTCTTCCATTTTCTGATGATTGCTCCCACAGTTGATTTTTTCACACCAAGCTGCTTGCCTATTGTAGATTCACTCTTCCCAGTCTGGTGCAGGTCTACAATACTTTTCCTGGTGTCCTTCGAAAGCTCTTTGGTCTTGGCCATGGCGGAGTTTGGAGTCTGACTGTCTGAGGCTGTGGACAGGTGTCTTTTATACAGATGATGAGTTCAAACAGGTGCCATTCATACAGGTAACGAGTGGGGGACAGAAAAGCTTCTTACAGAAGACGTTACAGGTCTGTGAGAGCCAGAGATTTTCCTTGTTTGAGGTGACCAAATACTTATTTTCCACCCTGATTTACGAATAAATTCTTTACAAATCCTACCATGTGAATTCATGGATTTTTTTTCACATTCTGTCTCTCACAGTTGAAGTGTACCTCTGGTGCAAATTACTGACCTCTGTCATCATTTTAAGTGGGGGAACTTGCACAATCGGTGGCTGACTAAATACTTTTTTGCCCCACTGTATCATAAGTATAGGTTGGTGATGGTGTAGCAGCTCTCACTGAGGAGATGTGGGGAGAAGAAGAAGGAGATTAAGAATTCAGCAGTTCTTCCAGAACCGAGGTTGATATAAATAGATTATGATGTCAGAATTTTAACCTGTTCACAAAAAAAGGATTTCAAAACAGAGTCTAAAAAAAAAAGGTCAGTGTGGAAGTGCCTTAAGCCTGTAGTCTAATGGCCATGAGGGGACGACCCCTCTGCTGGCAAAAAGGTTTTTATTGGACAAGGTGTCTCTGGTGTCCCCCTGGTGCTATTGTTCCTGCATCGTCATAATAATGTTGGTCCAGGATGAGCATTGCTACTGACCAGTCACGCTGTTGTGATGTCATAGGAAGAAAAAGAAAAAGATACCCTTGTTTATTTAAAACTCTCTTCTGGAGCAAATATTAAGGATTTCAAATGTTTATTTATTAATTTATTCAATGTAACAAATATTTTATCAAGTTAGGTTTGCTGTCAGCCAAATTTAAGTTACTCATGCTGGTTTGTTTGTGATCATTTGTAAGATAGCATTAGCTAATTCTTGGCTAATGCTAACTGATTGGTCAGACACGATGCTGGACAACACCAGCATGGGGATATCGGCCAACTCCCTCGTCTCGCTCTCCACTCTTTGATGTCTGTAAGTAATTTCCTGTTGAGTTTACAGGAAACAGTTTACAGATACAGTTGATAGTTTCAAGTCTTATTCAGTACAACATTATCATTTTGTAAATGTTTTAGCACATGGCTACCTTGCATTGGCAATTTGCTTCCATTTGAGCAAAATCAGCTGGAAAACACGCTTGTCTGAGGGCTATACTGGACTTTCTAAACCAATGGGTGACGTCAAGGTGGGGGCGTAACCATCTTTTATGTACAGTCTGTCAGTCTGCCCTTCAGACTCTCAGCAATGAAGATGGGAAGTTTCTTTCAGCACATCAGAGTTCATAAGCTAAAGCCAACAAAATAACCACTTTGATCACATGCTGTAAGTATAGCGATACTATATTCTTTTACCAACATGGTATATTTCATGTGCTGTAAACAACAAGATAAAAATAATCTTTCGATTCTGGGCTATAGTATGTTCGAACAACTGGCACAGGCCAACTTTTGCATTCCTTATTCCTGTATTTCCTTATACTCGTGTGCTGTTTCCAAAGTCTGACTGTGTGTACACTTTAAAACAGCGTTTAACCTAATAATAACTGGAACAAAATGAATCAATAATTTGTCACAAAAGTGGAGATTTTCCGTCTTCTCATAAAACATATTTTTGGCTTCCAGACTGAAATGAAGCATTCGTTTAAAATATGTCAACTTATGCACAATTAGACACTGTGAGTGCACGTGGAGCCAGCATCTGTCGATGACGACCGAAGGACATGTATCTGGTAGCATATACATTAGGGCCAAAGTATTCTTCTAAATGTCCTCGCTGCCTCCACAAGCTGTCATTATGCTCCACTGGATAATGATGGAGGGCTTTTCTCAGTTGCATCCAGGTGTCACTGGCATTGTTAGTCACAGCAGAAGTGATGTTAGTCAGTGCTTTAGAAATTTCTATTTGAATAATATTAAACCAAACTGAAGTTGTCAGCAGGACCTCTCTGTATAATCAGTCTGTTGGTGGTGCTCTGAAATCACCCCTCGCTATGAGAACGCGTCCTCATCTGCGCTCATATGATTGGAATGACACAATCAAACATCAGAGGTCACTGTTGTGCTTCAATGGCACTTTTAATAAAACAGACATTTCATCCTCACAACAGCAATGTCTGGACAGAGAGGGTGAGGGGAGGGGGGGCTGGGTGAGGGTTCCCTCTGCTGATAGGCTGGTTGCTCCTGATAAGTGAGAGGGAATTGGATAAAGAAAATTGAACTGTGCTCCCCACAGTGAGCGGAACATGAGCAGGCGTGTGTGCATGTGTGTGTGTGTGTGTGTGTGTGTGTGTGTGTGTGTGTGTGTGTGTGTGCGTAAATGTGTTGAACTGACTCATCTTGGCTGGCATTTATTTCTCCTCCAGTGTCTACTAAACAACAATAATGTAGCAAAGAGAACCCGGATCACAACCATGCTCGCTCCCCTCTCCCTCACATATTTACAGGAAAAATTAATACATTCAGTTAATTCACTAAGTAACAAAGCTAATTAATGTGTGTGTGTGTGTGTGTATGTGTGTGTGTGTGTGTGTGTGTGTGTGTGTGTGTGTTTTTTTAGCAGAAATCACATGGTTTCACATCCAGTTTTCCAAACAGACTCGTGTTGCTTTTCCCATTCCTACAAACTTTACCCACAGTCCCATCATTAATTTTTCTACTGATGAAAGACTCACACAGAACCCCCCAACACCCCTCTCCCACCTCCCACCCCCCTTTTTAAACACTGTCAGATCCCACTTGCCTGTTTTTATAACTATTTACAGAAGCAGCATTCTAACCGTCACAAAAACCCACCCACCCGCCAGCCTCACTCACCCTACCCTGTGCCAACAAAATCCTGGTCCCACCCAATAGAGAAAAAAAAAATTATATATATATATATATATATATATATATATATATATATATATATATATATATATATATATATATATATATATATATATATATGTATATATAATGACACCTGTCTTGCCGCCCCGTTCCATACACTACCCACATCTTACCCTGTTCTAAAAGAGCATGCCAAGTTTAACAATGAACACAGAAAATGTCTCTATACAGAAAAAAACACCCTTAAAAATGTTTTTTTTTCTTCTTCCTCCCACAATGGTGGACATGGACGTAAGACAAGATTTTAGTGGCAACAAATAATCGTCATCTTGCTCCATTTTGGGATTTTTTTTGTAATTAATTAATTGATAAATTAATTTTTTTAGGTGCTGACAGGGACTGGTTTTAGTCAAAAGAAAGTCCTGTCATTGGGGTTTTGGGGGGCCATGTTATGAATAGTGGGAGGGTAGTTTTCAGGGTCTCTTAGGCAACAGTTGGCCTTGGGGCAGCTGGGAAGGGTCACAGGTGTTTTAGAAGGGAGGAGAAGAGGGGTACAAGGGGTGGGGCAGGGGTCGTCTATATTATTTTTGTTTAGTTTATTCTTTTTTTTGTTTTGTTTTAAAGTCAGAGGTGGCGGGGACTTGGGTGGCCGTTGTGGTAGAGCTTCTGCTTGATGTGGACCATGTTGCCACTGGAGTCTTCCAGCTGTCTGAGCTGGGCTCGGCGACGGAGGTCTCGAAGGTTGCAGAACTGGGGCAGCCATGACCAGGATGGAGTATCTGAAGAAGAAAGATGAAAAGAAGTTACGTGTGACTGAGTAAGTCATTTATTTTTTATTGGAAGTCATAATTTAATTTGTTTGCAAAAGTGCAGAGGATATGGAATCACACGGGCCGATTTACCTGCTCATACATCAAGCTGAAAATACAAAAAAAGCAAAAATGTTGTGGGTCGTTAATAACCTTATCCCTTTCTTCATCTGATTGTTGAGAATTGTTAATATCTAATCAGCCAATCACATGGCAGCTAGTCAATGCATTTAGCCACGGTCAAGACACCTTGCTGAAGTTCAAACTGAGCATCAGAATGGGGAAGAAAGGTGATTTAAGTCATTCTGAACAGGGTACGGTGGTTGGTACCCGACAGACTGGTCTGAGTATTTCACAAACTGCTGATCTATTGAGACTTTCCTGCACAACCATCTCTAAGGTTTACAGATAATGGTCTGAAAAGGGGAAAATATCCAGTGAGTAGCTCTCAAAAATGTCTTGGTGTTAGAGGAGAATAGGCAGACTACTCTGAACTGGTAGCAAAACTTAAGTAGCTCAAATAACCACGTGTAGCCATGCATGCACCCTGAATGCACAACATATATAAAATTTTGAAGCAAACCAGCTGCAACAGCAGAAGACCACACCTGTCAGCTACAATTACCATAGCCTCACCAAACGTCGTCTGGTTAGATGAGTCTTGATGTCTGTTGCGACAAATTTAATGGTAGGGTCACAATTTGGTGTGAACAAAATCAAAGCATGGATCCATCCTGCCTTGACACTGCTGGTGGTGTAATGACAAAGTTTCTCCCTTTTTGAACAGTGTACCCATCTTCTGATGGCTGCTTTCCACCAAAATAATGCCATGTCACAAATAATGCCATTTCATGAAGCTCGAATCATTGCAAACTGGTTTCTTAAACACGACAATGAGGTCACTGCACTCAAACAGCCTCCACATCTTAATCCAATGAAGCACCTGGGATGCGGTAAAACGGGAGAGTCACATCATGGAAGTACAGGCAACAAATGTGCACCAACTGTGTGACGCTTTCAAGTCAGAATTAGGGCAGTACTTTTAATGAAATTACACCGAGGTTCTGCATCAGTTGCCAGTCATTGATTATAGTACAGTAGGATACTAACAAAGTTCATTCAAAGTACTTTTAGCTGAACCACTAATCGAGATAAAACTATAGCAACACATAGATCCCCGAATTCCTATATGTAACATGTTAGTATTCCACCAGATCTCCGGACTACAAACTCTCTCTCTCTACTTTTAAATCACGTTTCAAAATCCATCTATTCAGAACTGCATACACGTCATTATACATCTTAGTCCATTTTTACCCTGCTCAGCTTTTATACTTTCATGCTTGTTTTTCCCCCTCTCTTTCTTGTTTACCTTATGTTTAAATTGTATTTTGCCATGTTTTATTATATTGTATTGTTGCTACTGTTCTGTACTATTGTAAAGTGACCTTGAGGGTCTTAAAGGCGCCTATAAATAAAATAATAATTATTATTATTATTAGTATTATTATTAGTAGTAGTAGTAGTAGTAGTAGTGGTAGTAGTATTGTATGAATTTTGCCCTAGATTCAGTTTAAAAAATCATTTAACCCTCTTTCTTCAACTTTCAGGTTGTACACTTAAGTGTTTCAAGACAAATATTTTTATTAGTAGTAGTAGTAGTAGGAGGAGGAGGAGGAGGGGGAGGAGGGGGAGTATTCAAGTCTTATATGAAACATAAATAGGAAATGTTCAATGGGAATGAGAAATTAAATGTGAAAACATTTTTTTCTGTGTCGTATATGTAATGGAGGAACTCAGAGTTTGAGCCTTTTAAAAGACCCAAAAACATGAAAATGTCAATATTTCATATAAAAATAGCCAAAAGACTGAGCTGCTAGACAGTGGAACTAAAGAAAATGCCTCAGCGATGATGTTAACACAAAGTATGGGGACGTGAGTATGTGGTTTATTAAGCTGCACTGTCATTCGCACATGCAGTTGTGTCGATGTAAGAAGCTGAATGCAAGCGTTTAAAGACACCAAAGCCGAGCAGCTAGACGACACACTCATGAGCTCAACACACACAATAGTGTAAAATCCTAAAATCCTTCTTAGCCTGGTTTTCTGGTTCTAAATCCAGTTAGAGTATACAAGGCATATCAGCAACCAGACACACAAGCTGGACTGATCTCAGACCCATGAACCTCCTTTTATTTGACCTTAATGTCATGATCTTTCTTTCTTAAACTTTTATGAACTAGAAAGAAGAAAAAAAATCAAGAATCTGTATTTACAAAACCAACTGAAATTAAAAAAAATTAAAAAACCCTTTGTGGTAAATGCCATTAGTTTATACTGGTGAAATTTGTCAATACAACCTGCATGATGACGCTTTGGTGTGTCTGTTTATTAGGATATTTACATGAGTGTGAGTCAACCTCCTCCACGAGGTGTTGTTTGCACTGTAATATCTGCCGACAAATACCCTCCTTATTAGAAGAATTAAATAAGACAAATAGGCTACTTATCAGGAGGAAACATTCACTCTTCCAATGTATTTGGGGCTCTTCCTGAATTATCTACAATCCAGCTGCTAAAATTGATGTGACGTCAGTGTCAGTGATATCTGATGATCTATCTGTTAGTACATTTTTGTGATTTCCAGACGTGTTCTAAAGCAGTTGTGCACGATAAACATGTTGCAATGGAGAATCATTTATCAAGATGATCCTCAGTCGACTTTTTGTTTGCTTGTTTGTTCTCTTTATAGACATCTGTGCATTAATTGCATTAATTCAGTAAAGATATTTGTGTGTGTGTGTGTGGGGGGGGGGGGGGGGGGGGGGGGACTTGAAATGAGCAAACTGTGCAGTTGGAAACTGACTGAAAATATAAATACATTTTGGCCTGACTCACACTGGCTTTAAAAGCAAAGGTTTGCGCGTCGATTTGTCCTTTAATAGTTTCTATTTTTCATCCTTGGAGATAAGATGACGAGAACCGTGATGGCTCACGCGTCACTTTTCTGCTCTGAAATGAACAAATTTCTGGGCTAAATGTTTCGATGGCCAAACGGGTAAACTTACTGTGTGTAACAGTCTCAAAGATGGACGAGCTGAATGTAACAAACAAACAAACAAAAAGAGAATCAGACGAGTAATGTTCCTCTTTTGCCTGGTATAAGCGTAATGAAAAGAAAGGAAATTTATATATATCACATTTCATTACACATAAAATAAAATAAAAGTCAGTTTATGTCTGTGAATTTTGCACAACGATGTTACATTTTTATTTTGTCTTCACAACAAACGTAGCTTTTTATTCTGTGGAGCAGAAGCGAGCTGTTTACGACGGAGAAACCGAGACGAGAATTAAAAAAAAGAAGAAGAAGAAGAAAGTTTGAAATATTGCATGTGAACTGTAAATGGCGTCACTCTTCACGCGCGCCGCGGCATTGCCCTTGAGCGTTCACATTTGTGCTTCGACTGTCACATCGGTGACTGTGTCCTGGCATCGCTGCCATACACCAAAATGGATTTCACATATGACATTATACATATTTAAGACACAACGGATCCATCTGACTCCACCCAATTAGCAGCCATCACATCACACGTACAGAATACGCGTCTCAAAGGCCGACCTGGCGTGAAATTTGTGTCTGTGCCTGGAAACAAAGTAGAATTTATTTTTTTCATTTTTATTTTTTTTTGCAAATGCGAGGTGCATAATGTGAGGAGGGGAGTGGCGGGGCAGACGTTTGTGCTTGTCAGGTTATAAACTGGAGCCGGCGAGGCGGCGCGAGGTCCACAGAGACAGCAGAGAGAGAGAAGGAGGGGAGAGCCCCAGACAGCAAACCCAGTATAGCAAATGGCCCTGCTAGAGGATGAGCAAGAAAAGAGGGGGTGGTGGTGAAGTTAGGCAAGAGCTGGTGGGGGGGGAAGTGTTCTGTGGATGAGAGGAGGTGAGGAGGAGAGGGAGAGAAAGGGAGAGTTATTTATAGCTGTGAATGGGTATGCTGTCCACAAGGACTGCTCTGAAGGGTATCCAAAGGAAAAGGGGCAACCAAGACAGGTTTCTCTCATTTGAATAAAAGGATGGAGGTGGAGATTGAGTCCGGAGGAATGATAATGGCATGGCAGGAGAAGAGGGAGGCAGAGATACAATTGTTATGCTTTAAATTTAGAGCGGGGGGGTGCTAAGTCATCGTTTTCTCAATTTGTGTGATCGTTGTTGCGTTTTTTCCGTTTGGCCTTTCGAGTTAGGCGTTCACGGCAAGGCAGCAATAACAGGAAAATGTATTTGCAGCAGGAAGCACTGTAAAGGAAACAGACAGGAGTAGATTCAATAAGTGAAGAAGAGGGGGAGAGAGGGAGGAGCTAGACGAGGAATTAGGAGGAGGAAAAAAGGGAACAGTGTGCATCTGAGTGCGCTGTGTATGCGTGAGTGCGTGTGCGCATGTGTTTGTGCGCATGTGTGTGTGCGCATGTGTGTGTGCGCGTTTCTCACTTGCTATTCCAGCTGCTCTTCCCCTCGTTCTATTTTTAGCTTTGGAGGGGAGTTTGTGTGTGTGTGTGTGTGTGTGTGTGTGTGTGTGTGTGTGTGTGTGTGTGTGTGTGTGTGAAGTGGGGGTGGGGATGTGACAGCATCTCCATCCTGCTCCCCACCATCACACACACTCTCCTCCCCGCTCTGTCAGCCTCACCTTCGCTCCTCATCTCGGGGAGGCTAAACGAGTGTGACCTAGCACCGGCACATACAGAGAAATGAGGGGTATTCCCTCCAAGTGCCAAAAAAGCCCCAACTATTCTCCCCATTCTATAAGTGCTGCTAATGAATATGGATGTTCTTCTTTCCCTGGGTGTTTTTTATGATGATTTTTGCACTGTTGTACTAATGCACTGCAGAAAACCAGCATTGTTCTCAATTCCATGACTGTGCAAAGCAGCAGCAGCCAGCAAACATCAAAGGTTTTACTATTCGAGCACGTTGTTCATTATAGCTGCAAACGAATGGTAAAACCTCCATCCTAAAGCCCCATATTAGTGCATTTTAAAATCACTGTCACTCTTTGATCAGCTCTTGACAGATTCCCATCCCGCCTGGGGAGCTTTTCCATGGCGGTCCCAGTATCCAGGTCACATATCATCTACTTTATCCTGAAAACTGAAGATCCAGGCCACCTCCTCATCGTGGGGCCTGCCCCAAACTCTCTGTACCCGCTACAGCATAGAGACAACAGGATAGTGCAGTTTTCTCCATGTTTCAACATTCGGTGCCTCCAAACTCGGCTGAATTGCAGCAAAAGAATTGCTAAATGTTCATGAGCGTTTCCAAACATGACTTCAATCCTGGCGGGGTGGGAAAAGGCTGAGAACCCACCATGATCGTGAGCTGTGAGGGACTTCATGCTGTCATGTCATGATTTCACACGTGCGTCTAGTGGCTGTTTAACTTTGGCACCACTGAAAGCTTTTTCATTTCTTTGCTCGAGCCCGCACAGGCGCATAGGCCTAACGGTGCCGGCGAGCTGTACAGCACATGCTCTGTCTCATTAAATCTGCCGCATTTGCTTTCTTTTGCAAAAGTAACATGCATCCTTCATCTGTCACGAGGAGATGGGGAGAGAAATGAGACGGATATTTCAGGGAGGGAGCGTGCCGACAGAGGGAAATAAAGAGGCAACTATCACACTCAGTTGGATTTAAACACACGGTATGTGGGAATGTAGCATTCTCTACAGCGCAGCAGATGGTGGGAGTGAAGTCATCTCACTCTCTGTTTTTCAAGCCTGGGTTAAACCAGTCTTGGTGATTGCTGTGTGTGTATTCTTACACATATGGGTGACAAATTAAAAGAATAACCGACAATAAAGACTCGCTTTAATACCTGTGAATCCCTTTAGCAACATCTCCTGCCCTGTGGATTGCTTTCTTGAAGGTTGAAAATCTGGGATATCTCTGAATTGATTTGCAGTGACCCGTCGTGCTAAGTGGATACAACGGAGCATCACAGAGGCACTGGATCCCTTCATTGTAGGGCTCACAGATTCAGGCTTTTTCTTTGATTTGTCACTCATCACTGTGTATCACACTGATGATCACACCACAGCAGTGTTTGCTTTAAAATAAAAAATGGTTTGGTCAGATTTCCCTCATTAATCAGTTAACTTCCAGGACTTCCACCGCATTCATTCAGTGTAATATCAGCGGTGACAGTTTTCCTTTTTGTCATCCACTGCGCTGATGCTCCCACGCGCTTCATTATTATACTTTTAAGCAAAGATCTTGGAGAGCCGGAGATATGGCACTTGATGAGCAAAGATGGTAGTAGAAGTATCATTTCCAAAGGGGAAAGAGCTCTTTAAAACCATCATTTGGAGCAAAGTCAGAAACTTTATAAGCATTTTTATCAGATTGGATTAGTGACTCTATACATGCAGTTTTTATGTCTTAGTGACCACTGTGATTAAAGCTTATTTAGGCAATGCTTCAAAGTAACTTTCCAAATAACAGCCCATTTCAATGTTGCTTCCAAGTGGCAAAACTTGCTGCTAGAAAGACTATTAGAGTATCCATGTAATCCAACTCACAAAGTTGCAACCTCCAGTTACACCTTCCACTGAAATGCCTCTCTTGTTAGCTTTCTCAAGTGCACGGTGTTGTATAGTGTGTGGTGTACACGGCAGCTCTATTACAGATACAGAATGACACACGCTAACGTGAACTGATTAGTCTGTGTGTCCGTGTTAAAAGCATCTCAGTAAACACATATTTCATGTTGCTATGTGTGTGTGTGTGTGAGTGAATGTCTGAATTCATGTGGAAAAAGGCACTGCCTCTGAAAAGATTGCTTTAACTGACTGATATTGATTTAAATTGAACTGGCCACCTCATATCACGCCTGGACTCCATTTAAAAAGGTTTTCCAACCTTGCAACTGCTTAATAAGCGTCACAGCCAAATGGAGCGCAGCCATTCTTTGTAGTTCATTTAGTCTGGTGACCTCACGTAAATCCTAGGACAGCTCCACCCACCTTCAGCTGAAGAGGAGGTCCAATCAGCATATTACTGGAAATACCTTCAGTGGAGGTTGTTTTTTTTTTTGACATTTTTTAATATGTCACAACCAAAATAACATGGAAGTATAATGATGGCTGAATTTGCTTCAGCTGCTTTGGTTTCTGGGCTCTGATCTTGAACGTGCTGGCTTAATATCACACTCACATGGCTAAGTGGGAGAGATGAACAGAACAGAGGATCTGTTGATGGCGTTGGCTGATATGTCTACTATGAAAGACTCATAATTAAGAGCCCAGATTCATGTTTTCTGTCAGTGTAGCTGGGAAAACACAACTACTTGATCACAAAGATGTTCCAATAGCAGATGTAGATTTTATGAACTGTTTTTCATTGTTATTGGTAAACATAATACATGTTGGAATAAATGAAAGTTATATGAGAAAATAAATACCACTATGGAGGTCACAACAGCTTCCCAAAAGTGAAGCCAAAATATTTCTGTGCTGCTGACATCAACTTCCATTAAATCCTGTGTTAAGTGGGGCATCGGCACAATGTCCCCAGTTACTACAGCGCAGACACTCACAAGTGCAAGATGGCAGCTCTTATTTCTGAGATAAGTTGGCTTCACTTTTGGACATAAACAAGAAGTGTTGATGCATCATGCACCTTTACAGATTTGCTATGGAGCTGTCATCAAAATCTTTTGAATTTTAGTGTCTAATTGTCATTCTTTAACGAGTTAAATGCTGGAGCCGCTTTAAAGCTGTCAGTGGATACTACTCCACTACCAGAAACTCTGGAAAGTCAGTACAACTAAAGTTATTTTAGTACACCTTTGCCTTTTACACCTTTGTAAGTATTTAAACCAGTTATCTGAATATTTTTAGCACCATAGATGTGGTGCAAAATGCACAAAAAGATAAAACGGTCTTTACTTTTTCTGGAGTTCCTCACGTGTCTATCCTCGGTCCCTGATTGTTCTGTAATAAGAAGCTAGACTTGGGATGTATGACTGTGAGATTCCATTTTTATGTAACTCAACCAAACTGTAAAGCAAAGTGAAAATGTCAGCACAGAAAAATTTCTCACAATGCACAAATCTCCACATAGCATTATTAACGATGTCATGTAACACAACCAAAAATGCAGGCCTGTCATTAAACGTTTTATTGAAGGAATAAAGTTTTATTTAAGAAGAGGGGTTTATTAAGCTGAGATTTCTTTTTCTCTCTTTTGGAGCCTCCATAAATGTCACGTTGCTCTAGATCTGCAGTCATTGTAGAAGAGACATCAACATATTACAGTTGTTTCAGAGCACTGCTCTCAGGCCAATCAATCAAATCTACCATATTACCTAAATCCTCATCTCCATTTAGAGCCTACCTGGAAATTGAACAACTGATGTGGTGTGACTGGTTAACCCCATGACTGCTGCTTGGAAAATCCCTGTTGAGATTGGAACCTTTTAAAGGACAAAGTCAATGCATCTCAGGCTTGCAAAGTTAGGGTTTTCCTATAGATCCACTCTGAACACTCAGCTTTATCTTTAGCACTGCCATACATTTTCCCCAAAGTTTTGTTTTTCATTTCCTCTTGCGCTGTTTACTTGTTTTGGAAAAGTGTTACGCATGTTCATTATTTATTATTAGTCTACACTTATGCTTGGCTGAACTTTCAAACAAGGAAGTTATCTAGCCACGAATGTCATAATCATAATTGTTAATTTGCCACTTTGTCTAGTCGTCCCAATTAAGTTCAACCGAATGGAGGTTTTAATTGGAGGTTGCATCATCTATATTACATATTTAAAATCCCATTAATATTCTGTTTTACTTGCATTGCTATTTTGCTCTTATAGCATCCCCAATGAGATCATTAAAGCTCTAACTTATCACAGACCCTAAACAGAACTTTTCTGGGTGAGCCGTTTATCCAAACACTTGATGTAAACCTAGCCCTAGGCTAAAAGGACACACATCTTCCAATGCAAAAATAAGTAAGTTTAAGTCTAGAACTAGGCTTAATTCTTCTCAGGTAAACTGAGCTTAAATATGTGAACTTTAATCCAAGCGAAGATGTCAGCTGTTCAGTTTGGCTTAATGCTAACACAACATTCGGGCTCAGAGGCCGATGCTGAATAACATACCAGCGTGCAGCAATAGACACAAGTGATTGCACTAATGTATTTAAAAATGACATACCTGCAGGGAGTTTAATGTGAGTCAGCAGTTTGGGAAAGACAACATTAAAGAGTGATTTTATGTTGTCCTATCAAGTAATGAGCTGAATACATCCCGAGCATAGAAATTACACTTAATGACAGTGCCATTACATGAGCATATGACTGCTGTTTCCTGCAAACAAATTAAGTATTATTAGTGAAATAAGGTGTGAGATATGTGGACTGTCCAAAAAAAAGAAGAAAAAGAGGACAGCCGTTTAAATTTAGCTTCAGCTCAGCTGGTTTGTCTGATGTGCCTACGTCTGAATCATCGCAGTTGGAAGGTTTCGCTGTGATTTTTTTTCCAAGAGGTCGCAGTAAACTGAGAAAAAAATCAGCAAGAAGAGCCAAAAGTGGGCCAAGCAATGGGGGTAAGGTCATTTTCCAGAGCTCTACCAACTGCTGCGTTAACCTGGCAAGCACTTAGAGATCCAGATACATTGCGGATAGTTACACGAAAAGATCTTTCTGAGTTTTTGCTAATACCCTGCAATAAAATACACGTTATTTCATTACATATTACATTTTTTCCAGTCTTTCAAGCATTTGTGCCTCAGGATGTTCAACTAAAATGAATAAAAACTTATATGATGTTAAAGTATTGCTGAGCTTGCGTATAAGCAGCAGATAAACAGCAGGCAGCGTCCATCTTACCGTAGTATCGGCTCGCCCTCCAGGCCCTGACAGCACAGTGTAGGACTCCATCCAACCACAGCAGCAACCAGCTGATGCAGAAGCCCAGTAGCAGTCCCAGCATTAAGTCCATCTCCTGCTTGGTCACACTGTCACTCACAAAGTAGTTCTCTGAAGAGTCCACCAAGGAATGGTCCCCATCGTATGGGATTACATAGTGGACATGATGCCTGGGGGCGAGGGCAGACAGGGCAAAGTGATGGAAGAGTTAATTATGCTCTATGTTTGCATCTTATATAACCCTTCTAACTAGGGGGGTGTCTGGAGATTTCTAAATTATGATAAGATTGCACAAATCCGCACTTTGCTGTTAACCCCAGAAGCCTTCTCAGGGAACCCATGGGTATCTCCGGGCTGCACTTTAGGCAGAAAAATTCACGGCGGAGTTGTGATTTTTAAATTTGGAGAAGCAGCTCAAGGACTGAACACAGAAGGGTTTCTGCCTCTCTCAGTGACGATAGTTGAAGTGCCTCTAAGCAAGGCATTTACTCCCATATTCTACCAGCTCAATAAATGCCTTCCTGAGCAAATAGGACATGTATATAATGCAAACTGTACTGGGTGCTCTGGTGTGATCTTGTAAACATCAGTTTGTTTGTTTTTTCACTTTACTTTAGAATTAAAAGTGTAATTTAAAGCCAAACCAGCTCCTGTTAGAAAGTCTCTTTAATTTGCTCCAAATAAGAGAAGCAAGAAAGAAGGCAATTTTATACCTTTACCACAAATTCACAGGGTGCCTGATTGCTACTAAACAGGTGTTCACATCTCACAGGGGAACGCATGGAAATGTTCCACCCATAATGCACAGAGAGGAAGAGGACAGCTTATGCTGCATTACAAGTAAATATATATATAGAGAGAGGTAGATGGAGAAATAGAGAGAGAGATACATAGACAGATACCAGTGCATATGTGTATATATACATGTGTATAGAGAGAGACAGAGAGAGAGTATACATATATATATATATATATATATATATATATATATATATATATATATATATATATATATACATATATATATATACAGATACACACAGTAGGATCTGAATAAAGAATAAAAGAACATCCATAAAGCTCTGTACATCCACTACTGTAGCAAGTAACTAGCTATGGCTATCACATTGCCTCATTGTCCAGAACTGCCCTCCCCGCTACTGTAAAATAGATTCACTTGATGTGAAAGCCTCACTATACAGGTATTGCCTGGCCTCCTGGGAGGGGATGAAGGCGTTTTCAATATAACAACACAGGCAGCTGTCTGACAAACACGGTGAGGGAACGCAGTGGGAGCTGAGAGATTTACCTGTTGGAAGTGAGTCCAGATGCACTCACGCTCTTTGGGACATTACTTTGATAGCAGGATTGGACCGAAGGAGGTTTGTGAAGACCTGCTAGACTAAAGACATGCTGCAGCAATTTAAAATAGCTTCTAACTTCTGTAAATCTGAATGGCTTGCAACTTTTTGATTAGATTTCTCTGTCTCTGACATTACTGTAGTTAAGACTGTTAAAAGTGCGTTAAAAGTTAAGGTATGACTCTGTTCTCTGTATCATGAGCAGCTACAGACAAGCACAAATTTGAACTTCATTAATGTAAATTCCACCCACGCTGCGTGACTGACAGATAATCTCTGGACACTGCGCTGCAGGAACTCTACAGCACTTTAAAACACAAATAGATCTTGCAGATGAGCACCTGAAGCATCTTGCTAAAGAAGTATGACCACATGGGGGATCAAAGCAGCCTCTGAAGTCCATTAACAGGGAAACATCTAAAAAAAAAAAAAAAAAAGCTAAGCAATGTGTAATGATAACCCAAAATGTCTATCCAGATTCATTTATTTCCCCTGAAGAAGGACCTTGCTGAAATACTTATAAGTTTCTTGTAGCACATAAGTTTTCTTGTGCACCTTTTTTCCCTCCCCCAATATAAAAAAAATCAGGTCAAGAATTTTGTGTAACACACGCAGTCCACTCCTGTATCTTCCCCATCACGGATACAGCTGTTCTAAGGCCAGGCTTGAGCCCATCATAGATCCTACAACCACATCCAAAACAGAGCATGAGCACTGCCAAATAAAATGACACTGGCTGTGTCCTCAAGCCTGATAAGGTGAGCACTGTGGGCGTCCCGACACCTCCACGCCTCATGGATGGAAGGGCAGGCAGGCGAAGTCAACGCTCTGCTCTATTCATCCACGTATCCCACGTTTCTGCTGTTTGTGTGAAAACAGATGACTGGCTCTCATTCAGGAGTATTTCCAGGTCAGTGAAAGACACTGTGGTTACCTGAGCACTAGCAGGAGGAGCAGAGGTTTTACTGTGCATACTGTTCATTAGCATGGAGGTTTATTTGATCACTTATATGAGAAGGGTTTTTTTAATCATTAGTCTTTTTGCATTACTTACTGAAAGAAATCCCTTTGGCCTCTCAGCAGTAGCAAACATGACATGCCTGTCTAAATATTCCAGGGAAAAAAGCCCATCAGTGATGCATCATCTCATCTCAGAGCTGTACCCAAACATGCAATTTATTTTATTTTATTTTTGGCCTTGAGTAAACTATATCACATCACATGTATTAGACGCCTTTCAAAACTTTGACTTGGACAAGCATAATATAATTGCCTATGATTGATGGTGACCCATTTCTGGATTTAGAGGCTAAGAAAACACACACACACACACACACTGTGGAACTGCCCTCTTAATGCTGCTAATGAACTGCTAACACATCAGCCCCCTCACTGCAGCATGAACACTATGGGCTGCTGTTTTCTTTGAGTGTGCATCTGTTCAGCTTGCACCAATATGAATAGTGAAAATTCTTCCCTCTAAAGCCTCTGTGTGTTCTTCTAGCTGCTTGTCTGCAGAGCACAGACCAATCAGGATCCAACATGAGGACACTATAGGTGTGCACCCGTTTGTAAAATAGGAGTCTTACTTTAAATCCTGCTCTAATATTGTTGCCATACCCTCAGGCACTGAGGAGAGTTAGGAGGAAGAAGAAAAAAACACAACACAGAGGCCCACTTGTGCCATGGCTCACCCATATATCTAGCCTGTGTCATATTAAGTGCTTAATGATGATGGAAAACACGTAATAATGCTCATTAAATCCAAATTAATACATTAATGAGTGTCATGCTGTTGTTTTTCCACACTTCAATCCCCGCTCTCACCGTGACAGCAAACAGGTAGGCTGGTGAGCAGCCAGCTCCCTCAGCCCTGTAGCACTTCCTAAGCCATAACCACCTCACTTCGGCACTTAGGATCATAATTGGCCCCAGCAGGTTATATTCTTGCCGTGTAGGCCTGCGTGTGAATAGCACGGCGCACTTGATGCTCAGATTGTTTTTGAAACGGCCTCACATCGCTCGTAGTTCATTACCTATTTATGGCTCCGACATACACCTTCGTGTATGGAGCAAAATCAGAAATCCTCACCGCCACCGGTGGTATAAAAAAAAGAAAAAGAAAAAAGCAGCACACGGCGATCAAACGTGAGATCGAGCGAATAATAACGGGTCTGACAGTCGTGTAGCCTGTGAGAGCGCCGACAGGTTTGGCTTCACCGCCGGAAATCTTCGAGGCCTCTTCAGCAATTAAGAATGGACGACTAAAGAAGAGAACACACACGCGTGCACACACACCATGAAGCACACCATGTTTAACCCGAATATCGTGCTGGATGATGGCATTTACCTTCCACAGTTGCAATGACAGACGCGGTCCTCCCCTCGTAGATGCGGTAAGATGTAGTTGTGAAAGCGATCCAGTAGTGCGTTCATGTCCATTAAACAGGCTATCGCCTGCAAAGAACCATTCCAGTCAGCTGGGACATGTCAAGCAATAGGCTAGGCTATTACCACAGACAGCGAATAATTCTTTTCATTAGGTGCTATTAGGATAAATAACAGCAGGCTATAAAGACCACAGAGACATGAGTGAAAATAGTCTTGGCAGATCCTCCCGATTCTAAGAGGGGGGACTCTTGCCTCAAACGGACTTAGATTATTTATTTATGACGGCAGGTAATTATAGGTAGGCTAACCTACTTCCTCGTGTCAGTGATAGGCCTGCTGTAGTTTCTTGAAAATGTGATAGGCCTACATTTTTGAGGCATTTCTGTCAAATCGGGAGGCTCTCAGCCCAGTGAGGAAATAAGATCGTGGCCGAGGGAGGTGAAGGTGTCTTACCATTACAACTGAAGCACCAAGAATCATAAAAATCATGGTGGTTGTGATCATATGCATCAAAACTTCCAAACTGGCCGCCGTCCTGTTGCCCGGGGTTCTACCCGCGGCGGTGGAGACGCTCCGGCTGGGCTCTGGGCGCTCTGTCCCGGCAGGAGCAGCTCATGGAGCCGCCGCCGCCGCTCCTGGCTCCCCGTCCCTTCAAACTGCCCGGTCTCCCTCCGTCCCTCCTACACACGGCAAGCCGCTAGCCTTCACTGCGCCCTCTCCATCCAAGTATCCTGATCTCCCCCCACCCCCCCACGGTAGGTCGGATGCGGCTGCCGCTCGATCCAAGGAGGCAGTCTTCTCCTAATCACCGAGGCAAAAGTGATCCGTTCCTTCACTCGCGTCTCTAGCTGTATCCCAGTTTAAAGAAACCATAAAGAAAATGAATGAAGGATTCCCCTGATATCCTCTACGGAGTGCCCCGGTATCCTCTCTCCCTCCTTTCCTAAGTTATTCCACACCGGTTCTGCGCTTCAGATTAATGCCGGTGTCCTCCATGGGAGAAGACGGTCGATTTCTTTTGCCTGGACGTTTCAAAGAGCTGCACCAACTCCTCTCACGGCCATCGCCCTCGTCTTTCTCGGAACGCTTGACAACATCGACACGGGGTCCACACAGCTCCAGTCGGGAACTAGACCCACCCTGCGCCCCGAGTCCACTCCGTATCCAGCAACGGCAGCTGCATCAACGCCCGGAGCCAGGATTATCCCATCCTGGCTTCCAGCAGCTACACGAGCATCCACTCCCACCTCTAGTGCATGCGCGCACGCACGCTTTCGCGTTCGCGCTTCTATGCGCGCGAGAGAATCTGTGTATAGTGGGCGGTGTGAGAAGAAAGAACTGCAAGCCCGCTTTAAGGCAAAGGCCTGTAGGCTCGTTATTTACAGGCACCGATGGCACTCGTCATCATGATTTAACCTGCTTTATCCCCACAGTAACCCCCCCGCCCCCCAACCCTAACACACACACACACACACACACACACACACACACACACACACACACACACACACACACACACACACGCCTGCCTTGTGTTCTACTTCTCCCCCAGACACTGCTGCTCCTCTGTTTCTGACTCTGCACCATTTCTGCTCACAACATGCCGCTTGTTACATTTCCAAAATGAGCCTAAGGTTAAAACTTGTTTTGGGGTGTCATTTGGATTACTTGTTTAGGCTACAGTGGAAAGTGTGGAAATTCAGAAAACGTCGAAACTTCTGCAAAATAGTGATAATATTCTACTGGTGGAAATAATAAAGGCCAGTGGTTTCAAAGACTAGTTCTGGTGTGGCATGACATCTGTACCATGGCTCATTGAGCTCACTGAGTAAACATCCTGTTTGATGTATTATTTGAAAGCATCTGCTCTTATTGTCTCCATGGTAAAAGTTTCAAGTTGCTATATAGAATACAGAAATGAGAGGTGGACCTTGCAAGTATGCAAACCATCAAATCAAAGGAAATATATAACTGTCATATCCCAGCCTGCAGCTCAAATATGTATATCCAGATTTCCTGTATCCCTCAAGTATAGTCTGTATTGCCAACCTAGGTACCAGAGAAACAACAAACTGACAGGAAAATGTGTCATAAAAACCAAGTAATCACTCCAGGGAAGGGTGGCTGTTTCAGCACCATGGACAGCAATCATCCCAAATAAAGTAGTGAAACAGACTGAACTGTTGTACAGTATTCCAATTTTCTATGCATGCCCAAATAAAATCTAAAATACAAATACTGTAAGAAAATAATCACTAACCACTGTACTCATACCCTTTGTCTCTGGTGGAGCAGATTTTAAAAACATCTGCTGTTGTCACCCACAGGCACACTCCTGCTAGTGTTACTTCATTTCAACCTCGCCCCTCGTGAAGAAACTGCAGCCAAGATGGGCACCAGTGTAGTAGGCTCTAATTAAAATCTACAGGGGGTAGAATGGGGGTAATGTAAACATTTAACTGTTTAAAAAAAAAAAAGGACTTGAAGCCTGAATGGTCATGATTATGAGTGCAGCTTCAAACATGAAGCTGAATGCAAATTTACTAAAACTGAAAAATATTTAAGTGGCCATCCCATCCATTGTCAGACAAGTAAATCAACCTTCAACTGGATTAAAATAAAAGGACACAACTATAATGATAATATAATAAAGCTCCCGATTTTGTACCAGTGGATGCTGTGGTGATCAAGTTTAAATTCAACAAACTACAAAGACGAAGAAGTGGTGGCTTGTGGGTCATAGCCATGGTTTGCAGATGTTATCTATACAAACAGCCATGTCATGTCAAAAAAGCCTTTGAGCAAGGCAGTGAAGCTGACAGAGATGGTATGCTCTCTAAAAGACTTCTTCTCTTGGCTCCTGGTGGAGGCGGTCACACTTTCTCCTTCTCCCTCTCCCTTATCTTTCCTGCTTGGCTTCTCATGTCTTTTGTATAGTCTTGCTTATTCTCTAACCCTAAGAGAGTCTCCCAGACTTGTTCTCTAAAAACCTAAAGAAGAATTGTGGATTTGATCAACTGGTCCCTTAACGAAACCGACAACTCCTAGGCTTGGGAGAGCCTGATTGTCCTGCGGAGACGTTTGCTGCTGGATACTCGATTTTCGGTTGCGTCGTGTGTCTGGCAACACTCTCGATGATTCAATTCAATTCAATTCAATTTTATTTATATAGCGCCAAATCACAACAAAAGTCGCCTCAAGGCGCTTCATAGGTACAGAGAAAAACCCAACAATCATATGACCCCCTATGAGCAAGCACTTTGGCGACAGTGGGAAGGAAAAACTCCCTTTTAACAGGAAGAAACCTCCGGCAGAACCAGGCTCAGGGAGGGGCGGCCATCTGCTGCGACCGGTTGGGGTGAGAGAAGGAAGACAGGATAAAAGACATGCTGTGGAAGAGAGACAGAGGTTAATAACAGATATGATTCAATGCAGAGAGGTCTGTTAATACAACGATGGAGATTGAACGACATCTACCAATTCGGAACCACAATAACAGAGTTCTGGCTGATTGGAGCTGGCTCGGACCTGGCTTTTTATCTGGCTCGGACCTGGCTTTTTATCTGGTAAAAGGAAATTTGAGCACATTACTCCGGTTCTGGCCTCCCTGCACTGGCGCCCAATTGAATTTAGGATTCATTTTAAAGTTCTTTTATTGGTTTTTAAATCTTTAAATGGTCTGGCACCTGCGTATCTGTCTGATTTGCTGAAGCCCTATGTCCCCACTCGTTCGCTCCGGTCAGCTGAGCAGCTGTTGCTCTCAGTCACCAAATCACGGTTGAAACTGAGAGGAGACCGAGCGTTCTCTATCATGGCTCCTAAGCTTTGGAATAATCTTCCTCTTCACATTAGGCAATCGACATCAGTGATGGTTTTTAAATCCGGATTGAAAACGCATTTTTATTCACTGGCTTTTGATTCAGTGGTTGACTGACTTGTATTTTATTGTTTTCGCTATGTTTATTATTTTATCGTATTTATTATTCTTATGGTATCTATTATGTTTCTGTTGGTCAGCACTTTAGTCAGCCTTGTGTGTTTTTAAAGTGCTATATAAATAAACGATGATGATGATGATGGCTTATCGAAGAACAAGAAGCGGCTACAGCTGTTCAAAATCCCACAAGTCTGGCCGACATGATAGATGATGAGCAGGGCTGTGAGTACTCAGACTGTGTTTTTGAACGCAATATGGACAAGATCTTGGAGAAGCTCATGGCTCTGCTATATGGATAAGATCTTGGAGAAGAAGAACGGGAATTGAGAGACCTGGTGACCAGTGATGGACATTAGACCAACTGTAAAATTGGATTCAGTTTGTTCGCACCATCCAAAACAGCTACCATCTTCATCTCATGCGGCCCCCCTGGCGCCAGCTGGATGCTCAAGGCAAAAGCTGACGGGAATAACAAATTCTCCCTTAGCTAACAAGACTGTGTTGTGACTCTCTCCCTCCTCATTCAAGGCCACCCGCGTCGACCGAAGACTGTTGACTTTTGCTTAACTGGGTGAAGGGACACTTTCTCTCGGTTGAACACGGAACACACACACACATACGCATGTACACTGACACAGACCTACACTCACCCCCCACCCCCTCCAAACCCCTTCGATGCTTATGTCTTCTATGTTGTGAGATATGCTGATTCATGTCCTATGTGCTGAGGTGTTTTTCTTTCTTTTCTCAAACTGATCTCCCTGTTGGAGCTCAGTCTGGGGGGAGTTATTTTTTCTCCTCGTCTTTCCTCATGTTGTGCATTTTCCATTGTTATACCTCTCCTACCTGACTTCCCCATGTGATGTTGTAATGTATGTATGGTCGAAGGGTAAGATGGCGCTGGCAAAGGTCGGCAGCCTTAACCCAACAAATTAATAAAGATTATCTTATCTTATCTTATCTTAGTCATAAATGTAAAATTGTGAAGTCAGCTAAAAATGGCCTTTTTTTCACATGATGTTCTGATATCAACTCAAAAATAGAAACTCTTATCATAAAACATGATGTGCCTTGCTGACACACACACACACACACACACACACACACACACACACACACACACACTGCTCGTGCACATACAGTACAGAGTTGTTGTCCTTTGAGTCAAACGTGGCTGACGGCTCCTATGTTTCACTCAGGTAACGGGCGCTGAGTGCTGCACACGTACAAGCACGCGGATAGCCTGTAGGCCATTACATCTGTTCACACAATGCCAGCACTTACCCATGATAACCCCCACACACACAGAGCCGTATGGCTCCTTTATGTTTTTTCTTGTCTCGTTTTTTGGAAATAAAAAAAGTTTTATGCAGTTTTATCTCTTGAGATTATTTTCTTTATCTGTGTCTGTTTTTGTTGATGTTGTTTTTCTTAACGTTGCAAACATCCTGTTTATTACTTTTCAGCCCACTCCGCCTTATATTCATCAACTGCATGGAGTCATTAAAATGAGTAGGTTGTGAGTAGCCTTAGAAGACATTAAGAAGGCGGAAGGTGGTGAATTTAAAGACCACGAGATAGATAGAAAGAAAGAGAGATATATACTGGAGTCTTGTCATTTTTTTTCCTTGTTGTTTGTTTACTTTGTTTAAATGAAGAAAATTTGCTGCTACTGCAAGCCTTTTTAATCGCATTTACGGTTTGGCCCATTTCTCCTTCCGTACGTTTTGACGTACACGGATATACGTACGCGGAACCTCAGTTGTAAACAAAAACGGACAATCACAACTTTCCTATTCTGAGCTAGAACATAATAAAAACAAAAACTGGTTATCTCGTCAATCAGAGTTTTTTTAAAGGTAAGTGTCAGCACGTCAACTATGTTAAGTTACTCGGTGTGTCATGATGTAGTGATAAAGACAAGAGGTGATTTGTTATGTAATCTCTCCAGCTGTTGAGTACTCTGCACCTAGCCGCTAATGCTAGCTAACAGCTAAGCTGTTGCCGAAAACGCTTCGTTTGAGCTAAGTAGATAGCGAGTGACTCCGTACCCACTTAAGTTTCTAAGTGTTTATTAGTTAGCTTCCATACTGCTGACTAATTGGCTACATTTAAGAAAGCAAAGTAAAATGATTTAGCTTCAGTACAAACAAAGGAAGTAAAAAAAAACTATTGGACGTTTATATCTAAAACGCACCACGTTTTAGACGTGGTGCGTTTTCTCTAAAGTGTATCACGGCTTATGTTTACAGGCCAAGAAAAATAAACAATTATATAAAATTAAAAAAAAATACAAAGCCGGGTTAGGGGATATCCTTCAAAGAAAAATCCAGAAAGTTTCGAAATTGGAATTGTTAATTTTCAAGAAAAAACAAAATATTATTTGGCAGAATTAAAGTCACAAAACGTCATAAATTACCTGAGATAATACTGACAGATATATATATATATATATATATATATATATATATATATTAAAGAAATGAAAATAAAAAGTTTATGCTGCCTTTTTGAAGTAAAGGTACACTACTGTGAAAATGTCTTGAGCCACCCCTCATTTCTTTCTATTTTGCTTTCATACAGTCAGACTGTCTGAAAGTTTGTCAGTCACATAACAGAACCGATAGATTTTGGTCCCAAACATATTGCCGCACTGTAAAAGCATACGTCAATAGGAAAACACATAGGGGAACACTATTAATCATGGACTGGCCTCCCCAGAGCCCAGACCTGGACATTATTGAAGCAGTGTGGGATCACAAACCCCAAAGAAGAGCTTTGAATGTCCTTCAAGAAACTATATATATATATAAAATCTAGAATGATCTAATATGCCGTCTGGTTGAAATATTTAAAAAATCTACTATTTCTCTGTCATTAAAAAAAGAAAGTTACAGACGTGTGGTAGTCTTTCATGAAGCGCCTGCTCGCTGCCACAGGGAGACGCACTGTGGTGTTGTAGGCCTGCAGACACGAGTGCAGTCAACATGTCGAGGAAACAGACGCACAAATCTTTGCGGAGCAATAAAAAGAGTGAATTGGAGCGCAAGAGGGATGAAAGGGCAGTGCGCCGGGCCATCGCAAAAGACCGCAAGAACCGCCCTCAGGATGGCGATGAAGGTGCAGAGTTTGTCAGTTTCTCCAATCAGCTGCAAGCACTGGGGCTCAAGCTGAGAGAAGTCCCTGGAGATGGGTAAGAGCCAGAATATCAGACCTGCTCTCTCTGTGTGGTCCTGCTTAAACTGATTTCTCATTTATTTCAAAGTGATCAAAATATTATGTGAACTTATTATGTGAACATGTGAACACCAGTGTTGAGTCTGTAGGTTGCATTAGCTTATTGCTGTATTAAAAATAGTTTTGACTCAGAGGGAATCGTGTCTAGTTAATGAGGCTTAGTATCACAATGTAGGTAAATAGGAGATTGTTCATATCCTATAACTTGGCCCACCACATCCCATATGGTGATATCTTAAAAAACAGTTCTGGCTTTAGATCGGAGCACCTGGATTTGTTTTTAATTTTTTTGGATGCAGTTTTTAAAAGAGCTTAAATGTATTTAATCTGTTCTAAAAATGCCCTGTCTTTATCCTTTACATAATCAGTTATGAGGGCTCAAAAATGCTTGGAAAAAAATAAGGCTGAGCAGCTCTCTTTGATTTAAAAATTCGAACAACTTTTAACTTCATTTTGGTAAAGATTGTATATTAAACCCTTCAACCACAGGCAGTCATTTGTCATTTCCTTTTGTTCTTTAGGAATTGTCTGTTCAGAGCTCTAGGCGACCAGTTAGAGGGTCACTCCCGGGGCCACCTGCGTCTTCGCCAGGAAACTGTTGATTATATGACATCCCATCGACAAGACTTTGAGCCCTTTGTTGAGGATGACGTTCCCTTTGCACAGCACTGTAAGAAAAAAACAAGCAAGCGGGTAACATTGGCTACATATGCCAAGAAAACAATGTGATTAGCTAGACTTACTCTAACTTGCAATCCACAATCTATAACGGTACCTACGCTATATTGCTAAAAGTATTTGCCTTCACACCTATACAAACTTGACTGACATCCCACTCTTAATCCATAGTGTTTAAAATGGTGTCAGCACATCCTTTACAGCTGTAACAGCTTCAACTCTTCTGGGAAGAGTTTAGAAGTGTTTATGGCAGTTTTTGACCATTCTTCCAGAAGTACATTTGTCAGGTCAGACACTGATGTTGGACGAGAAGGCCTGGCTCACAGTCTCCACTCTAATTCATCCCAGAGGTTTTCTGTTGAGTTGAGATCAGGACTCTGTACAGGCCAGTCAAGTTCTTTCAACCCAAACTTGGAAGAGAAACTTGGAAGAAAGAAAACACATGGCAAGGTCCACGTCTGTGTGCACTTTGCTTTATGCATTGTTATATAGTCACGATGGAACATCCCCAAATTGTTCCCACAAAGTTTGTCCAAAATATCTTGGTATGCTGAATCATTAAGAGTTCCCTTCACTGTAAGTAAAGAGCCAAGCCCAACTTCTGAAAAACAACTCCACACCATAACCCCCCCGCCAACAAACGTTACACTTGTCGTAATGCAGTCAGACAAATACCGTTCTGATGGTAACTGCCAAACCCAGACTCATCCACCAAATTTCCAGATGGAGAAGTGTGATTCGTCACTCCAGAGAACTGTTTCCAATGCTTCACAGTCCAGTGATGGCTCAATTTACACCACTTAATCCAACACTGTGTATTGTGCTTGAATCCAGCTGCTCTGCCATGAAGGCCCATTCCATGAAGCGCTCTACACATGGTTCTTGAGCTAATCTGAAGGCCACATGAAGTTTGGAGGTCTGTAGTGCTTGACTCTGCAGGAAATTGGCAACCTCTGTGCACTATGCACCTCAGCATCCGCCGACTGTGGAATATTTAGTAGCGAGGAAATTTCACGATTGGACTTGTTACACAGGTCCTATCACGGTACCACACTGAAATTTACTGAGTACCTGAGAGCAACCCATTCTTTCACAAATCTTTGTAAAAGCAGTCTGCATGTCTTCATGCTTGAATATTATACCCTGTGGCCATGGAAGTGATTGAAACAACTGAATTCCATGATTTCAGTAGGTGAGGGAATATTTTTGGCAATATAGTTGCACAGACAGACAGCTGAGTTCAGTGGGATGCAGTTTTGACCAGAAACTTTGCAGTGACCTCTGGTGGTTATTGCTTCTGAGTGACAGATGTATGTAAGTGGCCTGTGGGAGGGACGGGGTGTCACAAAATAAATATACGATCTCTTAGTTTACTTTTTTTTTAGTGTAAAAATGTGGAAATAGTAATATATACAATAGGACAGCTTTAGTCATTTTAACAGACAGACTTTAAGAGTCATGTGTTGAAAGTTCAAGAGAGCAGTTGTGGCAGTAACAACTCTGTGCTTCTTTTCCTTGCAGTGGCCAATCTTTCTCAGCCTGGTACTTTTGCTGGAAACGATGCCATTGTGGCGTTTGCTCGCAGTCAACAGGTGAAAGTGGTTATCCATCAGCTCAACACTCCACTGTGGGAGGTAGGAGCAGACACTTTCAAATTATGTCTCCTGATCTTGTGCGCTAATATAATTTGTTATATGATGTCTCTGTGGCACACCACGCTGTTTATATGTTGTGTTTTTGTTGCAGATCAACGGTTCAGAGAAGCAGGTGTGCCGAGAGCTGCACATTGCCTACCGCTATGGAGACCATTATGACAGCGTGAGACGGATAGGAGACAACTCTGAGAGTCCTGCTCAGCTCCGCATAGAGGTGTGGTGTCCTACCAGACCAGTACTTAAAGAACAGTTAGCTCTCATCTAGCATGCGTCTTTATATGTCAACACTGCACCCAATGAGCCGTCTTCTACTAGATTTTTTCTGATGTTTTTCTTATCATTGTTGTTCCCAGAATATGCAGAATTCACATGGACAGCAGCGTGAGTTTGGGGACGGTCAGAGAGACAGGCACAAAAAGTCTTCTCCTTCAGCGTCAGAGGAGGACAACGTGATCCTGAGCTCCATCAAGAATCGAGGGATCCAGGGTTAGAAGTTACATTTAAATTATTAGCTGTTGGAACAAGTAGACTTCTGTGAGGGAAAGCAACATAATCATCAGAATCATGAATGCTTTGGATTTTTTTTCACAGCTAGTTGTGTTGATCACATAAACATCCCAGCATTGAACTAAGACTCTTAATATGACACTAACAGAAACAGATCTGATTGTATTTGCATGTTTATATCTTTTTTGCCTCAGGTGATGAGGAAAACTTACTCCAACTGAGTGCAGCGACAATCAACGCCGAGTGGCTTGTTGGCTCTGCGGTGGGCCAGTCCTGCCAGGGCCAGTGTGCCTCTGGATCCTGTTCAGCCTGCAGAGCTGCAGCCGCTCACTGCAGTGATCCCATCCAGACAGCAGAGGGCAGCAACGTTCAAAAATCCAAGGTTGTGGACACAAATTTCCTGCTAATTATTTGCATTATAAAGGAGCCTGTCTAGCTAAATCAATATTTTATACTTCACATTATACATGAAATTGATTCACATTGGTGTTCCTAACTTGTGAAATATCTTTTTGCAGCATTGGTCATGCTTTAGCAGTTTTAAACTTTACTCAATGAGGATAACTGACTTTTTCTTTTTTTTTCGCTCACCCCTAGGTCTCCAACAAGCAGAGGAAAGATCAGCAGCGGCTCGAGAAAAAGAAGCGTCAGGAGGAGCGGCATCGACAGAAGTTCCTCCAGAGTAAAGGAAGCCAGGACCAGAACCAAAACCTGCCAGACGCTGTTACTTTAGTACCAGCTCTGAACACTCTCAGCATATAGACTGGAGCATGGCCAAAAATACCTTCTGCTACTCTTGCTACCGGTGGCTGTCCACAAAGTTTTGCACATAGTCAAAATTTCAGTCACATTGGATAACTTTTCCTAAGGAGAACCCTCTAGCATCTTTGCAAAGAGTTTAACGGTGCCTGCAAACTGGTGTGTGTGTGTGTGAGAGATGGGCGAATGTTGTAAGAGACAAGCGAAAACGCATGAGTATCAGTATTTCTGTTGGGATTTTTCTTTAGTTCCATCCATTCCAGGTGTTGGTGTATGTAGAAGCTGCTCATATGTGGTTTAAGCACTACGTTATCTAGCTCCTTTCTATGCTGGACATCGGGCTTTTCATGACTACAGACAATCTTGCACAGCCAGGCTTTTTGATTTGCCACAGACTTGAATTTATTCTGATGTTCGTTCTGTCTGTGATCGAAGAATAAATTCAGTATTGGGGGGGTGGGGCAGACGAAAGGATTGTTATACACAGTGTGTGTGTGAGGAACGTGGCAATAAATAATAATAAATCAGATTTACCTTTTTTTTATTCCTTTGTGAACCCAGTAGTACGCTATGTACTATCCAGGGTGACGAGCTGTTTAAATTAAAGGTTTATGAGTCAAAGTAAGTTCCTGACATTTTCATTAAGTAATGTGTTTAAAGGTAGTATTGAATTTCTTTTTTTTTTTTTTTAAATTAATATGGCATTAAGAGAAATGATTACATCATTTTAACAGACAAAGGAAGGATGCTGACAGCTGCTCCCTTATTCACCACAGCGGGTAGAAAATGTGCTGCACTTATACATCACCTTTCTACTCTGAGCTTTTTACTACAAGCGTAGTTTTTCTCTTTACTTTGTGTAACCCTCACACGGGTGCATCAGAGGACACAGGGGGTCCAATATCTTCCTGAGGGACGCCTCAACATTTGTCTCTCCTCCAAGAAGCATACTGAAGATTGTTTGCTTCTTAACAAAATGTGTAAACCACTACACTGTGAAGCCTTTACAGAAGCTTCTCGATATTATAAAGAAAATGCAGAATTCCTGTATTTAATTTGGTTTCTTGACATTTTCCCACCCCGTGTCACTGTCAAGGATCCCACTAATTTGTGCATAGTGCTGTAATTTAGTTAGCCAACAACAGTCTGTCACCGGATATTTGTGCACTTAGGTGTAATAAATGATCTTGCACTCAGTAAAGCTGCTGCCAATAAACGAGTCTAGTATACAGGGACATGCACGTGTTGATATGTTATTATGGATACTAACTAGCCTAATCTCATGTTTAATATTCCTTCAACCTTGTGTACACTGACTGTTTAAAAAGGGAAGCTATTAAATTACTTCCTGTCATGAACTCAAGTATTCCCTGAGAGCCTAAAGGTCAGATTTAGACTGCATTTGTTTCTGTTTCAGCTTTTTTCTATTACCTGTGTGATATTGGTGAGTGGAGATCCCCTTAAAATTGTCATCTGAGGCAGACAGCTCAACTCACCTGATGTTCTTCTGTTTGTGAGCGGCAGCCAATCAGATGGAAGCTGATTTAACAGGAGAAGTGCTAAAGCTACTAGCTTCAGCTGAACAGTACATGAACTGAAAGACTGAACTGTAAGAGTATTGTGTAAAAGAGCACACCAAGGCCCCCTTGTAGGAAGATATAGCTAACCAAGGCTGCTGTGCCTCACAGGAAAGAAGAAACTGGTGTGTTTTATGATTTTAAATTAGAATAAAATATAATGGATATCAGACCAAGTTTAAAAAAGAAAGGGAAATATTAAGAGTTCAATCAAATTCACACTACAATATAAGAAAAGTTCAATTTATTAAAACCGCTTTAAAAAATTACATTAATTGAAGTCATGCTGGAGCTCATAAAGATGAGTCTGGCTTCAAACAACAAACTATGTACATTTTTCCAAACACACTGTTGAGCTGGAAGAGAGCTTGAAGAATCAGGTCGATGTAAACTTCCGAAATGAGCTCATGTGACAAAACACTAAACGCTAATGCTATAATATCATTAGCATTTACAGCCAACAGACTAAATAATGTCACATGTGATATTTCATCTGCCTGTCCTACCAAACCACGTGAGGCAACAAAAGCCGTTTTATTGTGTTCGACTTTCCGTTTGTGAAAAGATGATGTATTGTGTCGTGTTTTTACACTGGAATAAGGTGTACAGTGGTAAACTGTGTGCTGCAAATTGAGATTCATGGGCGCATTTGGAACGCGGCAAAAAAACTTCAGTCCTAAGGTTGCTTCTTAGTCCTGTTAGCCTCACAAGCCAAGATGGAATCCGACCGCGGGATCAGTAGCTCCTAAAAGTCCTGTCGGATGTTCTCCTTGTTTTCGTCTCCCTGCTGTTGCCGGAGTTGAGCGACTTCGTTTTCCAGCTGAACGATTGCCCGCTCGATCTCATAGTTCTTACTGACGAGTGACACCCAGCTGTTGAGGGCACAAATACAGATGTTAAAACAGACGGAAAACTTCTGTGCGTCAATGATACAAACGTAAACTCTTCCAACAACATACTTAGACTCCAGCTCTCTGAGTTTGGCTCCTGCTGCCAACTGATCATTCTTACGCTGCCAGTTCAAATCCTGAATTTGCTTCCTGTGTGGCAGAACAAACACACCAACAGATAAATATTAAAACACATTAAACACCGTGTTTTGGAGCAAAAGGTTTGAGGCAATGAACTCACCTGAATTTGTGAAGTTCCTTTTGTGCCATCTCGATCATGAAGGCCAAGTTGCTGAAGAAAAAAAAAAAATCAAACACGACACGTGTTAGCAGTATTTCCCCACAGACATCAACACTGTGCAGACTGGATCTGGAGACTGTACGCACTCGTTGTAGGCCTTCCATGCGTTGGTTCCATAATGCGACATGAGCTCCAGGTTCTCGATACGGACCGCCTGGTGCTCCAGCTGGGCCATCGAGTTGTTCACACACTCCTGCCACGCTGTAATGTCATTCTTCTGTCCTGATGAGGGCGCCGGCAACTCATACCTCAATGAGGAAAACATTTATTAAAATACTGGTGATCACCAGTGCTACTCCTCTGCCTAGTAGACACGCCGATGGCATCAACTTTAAAATCCTACATCGCTGGGTTCTTCAATTATCGCTCTCACAAGGTTTTCAGAAAACTTGACCTCTGAACTTGAGGTTGCGGTCACCGAGAACTCATGAGATTTTTAGTAGATGCACCTATGATAGCGTCTGTAGCTGCTATGTTGCTTTCTTTCTTTAGTTATTGCATTAACAAACTTAGTGATGATAATACCCCAACAGCCTTTTACAGCAGAGGGTTAAACTTTAACGTGTGAAACAAACAGAAATGAAGGCAAAAAATAAAAAATAAAAAAAAATAGCAGAAAAATACTAAGTTACATCTGAGTGAAGTTGCCCCCCCCACCTTCTTCAAAACCAACAAAAGTGGTATCAAACGTTTGTGCTACTAAAATTTTTGTTTGTGCCGCTATCATTTTAAAGATATTAAAGAAAATTTAAAGGCCAGAAGGTCAACCAGCCCCCCCCACATTACCCAAATCAGACAAAATTGATGGCACTGCAAGACTGCTTTTCCACCAGAGACTGGGAGATCTTTAAAAAGGCTGCCACACACGACAACACCACAGACTTTCAGGAATATACTGAAACTGTCATTGCCTACATCCCAAAATGCATCGATGATGTCACAGAGACCAGAGCTATCACTGTCCGGGCCAATCAGAAACCATGGCTCACAGGTGAGGTCCAAGGCTCCTAAGGTTGAGAAATGCAGCCTTCAGAGCCGAGGATTAGGTGAGCCTAAGAACAGCAAGGGCAAACCTGTCACGTGGCATCAGAGATGAAAAGGCAGTAATCCAGGAGGATTTTGCAAAGCTTCAGCGATAGCAGAGAAACTCAGAGGCAGTGACAAGGAATACAAACCATCACAGACTACAAGCCCACTCTGCAGACCGTGGTGATACAATCCCCAGACAGTGTGTGGAGATCTCTTGCCAAAATCAATACAAGCAAAGCTCCAGGTCCTGATAACATCCTTGGACGAGCACTGACGGACTATGCTGTGGAACTCACAAAGGTCTTCACAGACATCTTGAACACATCATTAGGGTCAGGCTGTCGTTCCCACATGTATTGAAGCCTCCACCATCATTACTGTACCAAAGAAGTCATCTACCTCCTGACCTTAGATGACCTCTAGAAACTTTTATTAATATCTTTGAAATGATAGTGGCACAAACAAACATTTTTGCAACACAAACCAGCACAAACATGTGACACCACTTTTGCTGGATTTGAAGAAGGTGGGGGGCCAACTTCACTCACATCTGTTACTACCCCGTTTTCCAAAGATTTTGGAATACTATCAACAACGTACATTAAAAAAAAAAACAACAACAACAACAAAAGCTGAGTTAACCGACCTGTCTGAAAATGTGGAAATCATTTAAGTGCTACATAAAATGTTGAATTTCTTTTTCTTTTAATGTGGTGCCAGAATCATGTATGATACGGCATGTGACTTGAACAGTTGTGTAATTAAAGAAGGGGAGGGATACAGCTACTACTGGAAAAGCAAGTCAAGTTGTATAAAAACAGTTTTTTCACAAGAATCTATGAAATCCTGTGAAAAACTAAGTACATCCATCATGCTTGCATATGAATTATGACTGTATCATGCCACTCAAATGTAATTTAGTAACTACTCATCAGCACCTGTGAGCACCTCTATAAGAGCTGAAGTTTTGACCGTTTGTTAAAACGATGCTACAATCCTAGATTAGCATGTTAAATGTTAAAGTTTATGACAGTAAAATTAGAAAAAGTTGCATTTGAACAAACCAAAACACTTCTGTAACAAAGGAAAAACCAAACACAGCACATCAGCACAAGTGCCTCACATCAACTATCAAGCACGGTGGATTTGTGCTTGTTTTGCAGCCACAGGGCCTGGGCAGCTTGCAGTCACTGAGTTGACCATGAACCCTCTGTATACGAAAATATTCTTAAGTCAAATGTGACCAACAGCTGAAGCTTTGGACAAAAACTCACAGGACTGCACAACAGCAGATCAACAATTTAAGGAACATATTTTGCATCATCCTTGACAAACTTTAAATGAATGGTTGTGATCTTTGGGCCCCGAGACTACACTGCATTAAAAACACAACTTTACAGTGTAAATCAGTGAATGGGTGAACAGCCTAGAAAGAACTTAGAAGCAGTGTAGTAGGTTGACTATATGAATGCATCTCTCTTCCTCTGTGGCAAATAAGCAAAAAGCTCAACTTGCAGCTAAGCTACCATCAGGCTCTTACAGCTGGCAGGATTTACCTCTTCATACTCAGGAGTTCCATCGGCTGCCGAGCTGCCAACCGCTCAAATTCATTCCTCATTATTTCTGTCTGAAGGGGGTGAGAACAAAGAAGAAGCACCATTATTTCCTTGTCAGCAGCTGAAACCACTAAGAAGGTTTTAAACTTCTGATGAGTTCATCACCTCAAAAGCAGAGAAATCAGGAGTAGGCAGGTAACTCAGGTAGTTTTTTGTAGGTCGGTATCTTCTGGTCTCTTCTTCGACCAACGCTGCTGCCTGAAGGAAG